GAATTACTGTAGGTTGATCTTTAGCATTACGTCGCGTTTTAAAGTATATGTGTTGCTATTACTTTTACGTCTTAAAGTATATGTGTGTATTACTCACGTCTTTTGAAGTATATTGTGTAGTATTACGTCACGTCTTAAAGTATATGTGTAGTTATTACGTTAAAGTGTAATGTGCATGCATTTACTCACGTTCTTTGAAAGTATATAAAATACGTTCACGTTCTTAAATTTATATACATAGTATTACGTCCAATCTTAAAGTGTAAAAATGTGTAGGATAACGTCACGTCTAAAAGCTATACGTGATAGTATTAAATCACGTCTCAAGTACTATTTGAAACTTATTTATTACTCTTCACGCGGCCTCAAATCACCCAAAGGAACAGAACTACACAAGAAAAACACCAGAAAAAAAAAAACACGGAAAGCTTCTCTAAGGCATCACTCCGTCTTGTCACGCACAGGTTCTGGAGGTTGAAGCAGCACAAACATTCGACACCCGTGACGGCCATGGCGTCACGGGACGACAGAAGCGAAAATATAGAGAGAAATGAAGAAGCGCTGGAATTCTTGTGCAAGAAGGGGAGCGGGCACAGGGGTAATTGTTGATGTTCTGCGTGTCACCTTTGGCTTACGGAGTTATGGCCCCGAAGCACAAAAACACACCACAACAAACACACACACACACCACACACACACCACAACACACACACACACAACACACACACACACCACACACAACCACACACACACACACACACACACACACACACACACACACACACAACACACACACACACAACACACACCACACACACACACACACACCACCCACACACATACATACAGAGAGAGAGAGACAGACAGACAGATAGATAGAAGACAGAGAGAGAGAGCAGCGACAGACATACAGAAGCAGAGATGAGAGAGAGAGACAGAGAAAGGAAGAGGAGAGTGATGGAGACGGAGAGAGAGAGCGAAAGACAGACGAAGGACAGAGAGAGAGAGACAGAGACAGACACGGAGACTGAAAGCAAGAGAGAGGGAATGATGAGAGAGAAGAGAGAAAGAAAGAGAGAGTAGAGTGAGTGAGAGGAGAGAGAAGACAGCGAGAGTGGCATCTCTGTTTGTTTTACACTCATGTACTTACCGGATTGAATAGGGCATAACCTCATTAGTAATTGTATTACATTGCATGTATCTATACATGCGCTAGGATATATATATATATATATATATATTATTATATTATATGTATATATATATATTATATTATATATATATATATATTATATATATATATATATATATATATATATATATATATATATATATATATAAAGAAAAACGCATATATTATCCACTCAGATTTTGAACAGAATGTACCTCAATGCTGAACCTTAACATAAACCATAAGCCTGCATATTAATTCCAATATTAATATTGTTTTCTTCGCTCAGAACTGCTGTCATGTCCTGACAACGCTGCTTCTCCTGGTCTCGGTGAACCTCCTGCTGTAGATGACGATCCACGAGAAGCTGCCTTAACACCCCTTACACCCCCCCCACCCCGTCTAGAAGTCATCCTTGTCATCGGCACCTGACTCCACCGCGGAAACCTCATCACCGACACAAGATTATCCTCTTCTCTTATCCGAAAACCGCTTGGATTTCCCACTTACCCGGATCACCTTATCTCTCCGTTTCCGCGAGTGGAGTCGACCGATCCAACGGGGAACAGAGACCATGCGAGCTTCTCTGCCGGCGAACAGGACTCCCCTTGAACGACGCCCATTTGTGGAGGTGGTTCAGTCCGTGAGACACCATTGTACGGGAGAAAACAGTACCAACGAAAGTGAATGGATTCGTCAAAGGTTTCCGAACCAACAGTCGAAATTGGCACTTTGGGTTCGGATTACCAAGACGATAGACCCGAAGTAGCAATGGCCAATAATAGGGGAGGGAACAGTTGTACTTGTACTTCCTTGTACTTGGCTTCACCGTTTCACCGTCCACATTCCCAGGCGGAACAATCAACACACCTGATTGTGCCTTAACTTTTTTTTTCAGTGCGAAAAAAACAAAACAAAATAGAGGGTTCTCTTTGTGACTGCACGTCTCTTTGTTTTTAATTTTTGTGGCTGAGTGTGCCTCTCTGTGTGTATGTAGTTAATATCCTCGTAAGGCTTTATGATATATAACTCATCAGTATTTTAGATTACGATGTTAGTTTAAGTTCAGAAGTAAAAGCTGCAAAGGAAAACACCGAAGAATAGTATTTATTAAAGTAAAACTATGAACCGACTTTGTCTATCATCCTGTCAACTCCACCTCCTGATTCCACGAGCTATGACCCTATTCTTAAGAGATAAACCATCCCCTTCCTGTTCAGAGAGGCTCTTGTGCCGCCTGCCCCAAGGAAGACGATTGCTGAGAGGCTTACAACGGCGCTCTCCTTGTGTTCTCGAAGGCATTCCAATAATAATGTTCATACTTGCTTT